AGCGGCAAGAACCGCTGCTGCTGCTGCTGCTGCAGGGATTGCATGCGGCAGCTGCTGCTGCGACTGCATTTATTCGGTTTGCTGCAGGTCTGCTCTTGCATTGACTGGAGGCGTACTGGGTAATTCGCTGCTTCCTGCTGCTGCTGTTGCTGCTGCTGCTGCTGCTTTTGCTGTTGGTGCTGCTGTTGCTGCAGCTGCTGGGCCTGCAGCAGCTGTTGCTGCTGAGGTAGCTTCGCGGTGTCGCTGCTGTTGCTGCTGCAGCTGCCTAATGCGATCTCCTGTACACCCGCAACTGCTGCTGCTGCACCTGCTGCTGCTGCACCTGCTGCTGCTGCACCTGCTGCTGCTGCACCTGCTGCTGCTGCTGCTGCACCTGCTGCTGCCGCTGCACCTGCTGCTGCTGCTGAAGGCCTTGCGTGTATGTTGTTGTTTAATTTGTTTGCTGCAGCCGCAGTCTCATGAGTTCAGGCCATCTAGCAGCAATAATAGGAGGTAGGCTCTTGCTGCCCGCTGCTGCTGCTGCTGCTGCTGCTGCATCAGCAGCGCGTCCTAGCTGGAGAAGCAGCGGAGACAGTCTGTACACCTCAGCTTCAGAGGGCTCAGCAGCAGCAGCAGCAGCAGCAGCAGCAGAACATCATCGTTTTAGAGGCACGTCTGGCAGCAGCAGCATCTCAGACAGCTGCAGCAGCAGCAGCAGCAACAGCGACAGCAGCAGCAGCAACAGCAGCAGGTACAGCAGCGACTCCAACAGCAGCGACACAGACTGCAGCGGCGATCCCCACAGCAGCAGGAGCTGCTGCAGCAATAGCAGGAAGGCCGTGATTCTTCAGCAGCAGCAAAAGCAGCAGCAGCAGCAGCAGCAACGTAGACTGTGCGTCCCTCGCCTCGATCTCCTCAATCTCCCGCTGCCCACTGCCTACACGGTAAGCTGTTGCTGCTGCTGCTGCAGTTGCTGCTGCTGCTGCACGTGCTGCGCTTTCTCCTGCTGCTGCTGCACTTGCTGCTGCTGTTTCTGCTGCTGTTGCGACGGTTGGCTGCTTGTGCTTCGACGGTTAGGGGGTTATGCTGCTGCCGCTCCTGCTGCGCTGTTGCCAGCAGTAGGAGCTGCTGCAGCAGCAGCAACACCTGTAAAAGCAGCAGCAGCAGCAGCAGCAGCAGCAGCAGCACTTGTTGTGAATGTCTGCTTCCCTTAGGATCTTCAAGGCCCGCCAACGCCAGCGCTTGAAGATGAACTGCAGCCTCCGTGCATGCAGCAGCAGCAACAACAGCAGCCGCAGCAGCAACTGCAGCAGCAGCAGTTGGAGCAGCAGCATCTACAACAGCCGCAGCAGCAGCAGCCGCAACAACCAATGCAGCAGCAGCCGGATGGAGCTGCTTATAACTTCGAATGCAGAGAATTTGAAGCGCCTAAAGTGCATGCAGCAGCAGCAGAAGCAGCAACAAGTGCAACAGCAGCAGCAGCAGCAGCAATTGAAGCAGCATCAGGACCAGCATCAACACCAGCAGCAAGAGCAGCAGCAGACAATGAGGTAGCATGCGTAGCAGCAGAGCAGCCCGACAACCAAGGAACAGCAGCAGCAGCAGCAGCACCAGCAACAGCAGCACCAGCAACGCCAGCAGCAGCAGCAGCAGCAGCAGCAGCAGCAGGTGGCAGTCCTCGCTCTCCTGAATCTGCAACGCACACTTCGCTTACGGGCGTAGAGAGCGATAGCAGCAGAAACGAGGCATCTGCTGCTGCAGCTGCCGCAGCAGCCAGAAGCGGAGCAGCAGCAGCACCTGCTACCTCTCTTGCAGGACCAGCAGCAGGAGCAGCATCAGGAGCAGCTGCGGCTGCTGCTGCAGCTGCTGCTGGCGCAAGAACTGCTGGACTGCGGGTGTTATCACCGACAAGGCTCTCGCCATCTGCTGCTGCTGCTGCTGCTGCTGAGTGCAGCTGCGTGCCCGCCAGGAGCAGCAGAACGTGTCTAACAGCAGCAGCAGCAGGAAAACAGAAGCGGCAGCAGCTAACGGGGTTTGCGTGGAGCCCACAGCTGCAGCAGAAGCTGCTGCTGCTTACAGCACTGGTAACCCCTCGCCATCGACGTGCTGAGTTGCTGCAGCTGCAGCAGCAGCAACAGCAGCAGCAGCAGCAACAGCAGTATGGGGGAACTCGCCGCAGCTGGACTGCCGGCAGCAAGTCGCAGCACGAAGTGGCTGCACACCCAATCATACCCCACAGCAGCAGCAGCAGCAGCAGCAGCAGCAGCAGCAACTGCTGGGTTGTGGCTCCCTTTGCTGCAGCAGGGGCTGTCTCCTCCGCCGCTCCCATTGAATGCTGGACCCGCAGGCAGCAGCAGCAGCAACAGCAACAGCAGCTGCTGCTGCAGGGTGAAGTGTACCCGCATCAGCTGCAGCAGTTGCAGCAGCTGCAGATGCAGCAGCAGCAGCTGCAGATGCAGCAGCAGCAGCTGATGCTGCAACAGCAGCAGCTGCAGCAACAGTTGTATCCTTCGCATGCAAAAGTTCACAAACGGCAGCAGCAACTTCTACAGATGCTGCAACCGCCTCGGCGCAAGAGTCTTCTTAATTTGAATCAGCAGCAGCAGCAGCAGCAGCAGCAGGAGGGAGGCACTGCAGCAGTAGCAGCAGCACAAGCAGCAGCGGCAGCAGCAGCAGCTGACTCCGCTGTTCGCCGTCATGCAGTTGTGCCTCGTTTAGATTTGTCTGCTGTCTATCTGGCTGGAAGCCGCATGCGTTTTGCAGCAAGCAGCAGCAGCAACGCTGCAGCAGCAGCAGCCCCACCAGCAACATCAGCAGCAGCAACGCCAACAGCGCCAGCAGCAGCAGCAGCAGCAGCTGGCGAGGATGCCTTAGCTGCTCATGCTGCTACTAGTAGCACTTGCAGCTGCGGAAGCAGCCACACACGTCGAGCCCAGCAGCAGCAGCAGCAACAGAAGCAGCAGCAGAATAAGCAGCAGCAGCAGCAGCAGCAGCAGCAGGACCACATCGAGTGCATACCTCACGAATTGGGGCCTCCGTCAGAAGATGCAGCAGACACTGCCGCAAATCGAGGGGGCGGGGATATCTTATCTGCAGCAGCAGCAGCAGCTGCAGCAGCACCAGGTGCAGCAGCAGCAGCAGAAACAGCAAGAGCAGCAGCAACAGCAGCAGAAAGCCCCTCTGCCTGCACTTGTTGGCTTCACTTTGACCACCCTCTACTCCTCGTATGGCGGTTATTTGATAATCTGCAGCAAGTGCTGCAGCAGCAGCAGCAACAGCAGCAGCAGCAGCAGGATCGTGCTCGGCTGCATCGCATGCTGCAGCAGCAGCAGCAGCAGCAGCAGCAAGCAGCAGCACCGTGGCAAGTTCCGTGGGTGCCCCAGTCAGTTGTTGCTGCGCTGCTGTGTGCCTGCCCCCAGCAGCGGCGGCAGCAGCAGCAGCAGCAACTGCTGCTGCTGCAGCAGCTGCATGAAGACGTACATATGTATGCAATGCTTGCTGCTCTTGTTGTCTCTTTGCTGCTGGGCGGGGGCCCTCAGGAGCTGAATGATATATCAGAAGCAGCAGCAGAAACCCGCAGTGCAGCAGGAGCAGCAGCAACAACAACAGCAGCAGCAACGGCAGCAGCAAGTGGAGCCTTTGCTGCTAACAAGAGCAACGCAGAGTCGGAATGCATGCAGCTGCTGCTCTTTGCTGCTTCGCCGCTGCTGCAGCTGCAGCCATCGGCTATTCAGTGTCTCTGTTGCAGCAGCAGCAGCAGCAGCAGCACCAGCAGCAGCAGCAGCAGCAGCGGGAGGACTTCATGGTGCGGCCTTGTCAGCAGCGGCCGCAGCAGCAGCAGCACCAAGCGCAGCAACGGTCGGGCGATAGCTGATACCCTAATCCCTCGTCTGCAGCAATACTTGAGCTGCAGCAGCTGCAGCAGCAGCAGCAGCAGCAGCAGCAGCAGCAGGTTCATCTGGCTGCTGCTGCGGCTGTGCCAGCTGCTGCTGGGTCCCCCCGGCTGTCTCCTTTTGAAGCTGCTCGTCTCTTCGTTTTCTTCTGTAGACATTTTTCGCAAAGACGAGCCCATTGGAAGAGGTTAGACAAGGGTTTAGGGTTTAGGGTTTAGGGTTTAGGGTTTAGGGTTTAGGTTTTAGGGTTTGGGGTCTAGGGTTTACTGTCTAGGGTCGAGGGTTTAGGGTTTAGGGTTTAGGTGGCAGCGCCGTCGCCTTTCTGGCCCTCACTTGCGGCCTGCAGCAGCAGCAGTAACAGCAGCAGCAGCAGCAGCAGCAGAGGGAGACTGAGCTGCTGCACCATTATTTGCCTCGTTATAACAAAGCCGGATATCGCATACAGATTGTTGCTGCTGTTGCTGTTGCTGCTGCAGCTTTTGCTGCATCTGCTTCTGCTGTTAGTAGCGTGCTGCTGCTGCTTGAGCTACTGCTGCTGCTGCTGCTGCTGTTTATTTGCAGGTGCTTTCGGGCAGGTGTATAGCGGGAGCTGCCTATACACCCCACGGCTGTTGGCAATAAAAGAAATTCTAACCCCACAGGATGAACGCGTAAGAAGACAAAACAAACAAAAAAATATAAAATAAAAACAATTTATTATATTTAAATATGTAAATATAAACAAACAACAAAAATGCTGCTGCTGCTGCTGTTGCATGCTGTGCTGCTGCTGCTTTAGATGCTGCTGCTTCAGCTGCATCTCCTCCTGCTGCATCCTCTGCTGCTGCTGCTGCTGCATCCAGTGTTGCTGCTGCTGTTCAGCGGCATCCTATGCTGTTGCTGCTGCTGTTGCTGCTGCTGTTGCTGCATCCTTTGCTGCTGCTGCTGCTGTTGCTGCTGCTGCTGCTGTTTGTGTGCATATAGGCTAGCATAGTGCTGAATGATTTATACGAGGAGGTTTTTGCTCTCGATGTATTTCGAGGAAGTGCTGCAGCAGTTTGCGTTATATACGACTTCGGGTTAGCTGCAGCAGATGGTTGTCTCTCTTACTTTATTTTAATGAAACAATATCAGCATTCTCTTGCTGCTTGGAGACGAAACTGGGCTGCTGCTGCTGCTGCTGCTGCTGCTGCGGCAGCTGGGGCGGGTGGGACGGCCGGTGGAGCGGCGCAACTGCAGCAACAGGAAGAGCAGCAGCAGCAGCAGCAACAACAGCACCAGCAGCAGCAGCAGCAGCAGCAGCAGCAGCAGTTGTTGTTTATGCCAGCTGTAGCATTAGCAGATTTCGGGGAGGCGCGGCTGCTGCGAGGACAGCAGGAGCTGCCGAGACACCCCAGAGGGACAGAAGTAAATAAAAGCCCTGAGATGCTGCTGCTGCAGCCCCATCAGCAGCAGCAGCAGCAGCAGCAGCACCATTCAGCAGCAGCAGCAGCAGGAGAGGAAAGAAGTGCATGCCTTTGCAGCCCTCCTCTGTCTTTGTCTGGCAGAAGAGTTGCGTCTCTATCAGCAGAAGCAGCAACAACAGCAGCAGCAGCAGCAACAGCAGCAGCAGCAGCAGCAGCAGATGGAGGCAGCAGCAGCTTGTGTTTTGGTGCTGCATGCGACATCTGGTGCTTAGGGTGTTTGTTTTTTGAGTTATTAACGGGAGAGATGTTATTTGCTGCTGATGCTGCAGTGTATAGACGGCTGCGGGGTCTAGACCCACTGCTAAGCAGCAGGAAGCAGCAGCTGCTGCTAAGCAACAGATATCTTATCAGCTTCCTGCTGCTGCTGCTGCAGCTACAGCCGGATAAAAGACCTACTGCTGCTGAAGTGCTGCCTCTCTTCAGGTGTATGTACACCGCAGTGCTGCAGGACTTAGCAGCAAACAGAAACTTTAATAAAGCTGCATGTGCTACCCTCTATATGAATGATAATAATGCTGCTGCTGCTGCTGCTTCTCATGCTGCTGCTGCTGCTTCCTCTCCGTCCTTTTCTTCTTCTGCTGCTTCTCCTGCTGCTGCTCCTGAAGCCAGGGGCTCCTGTTTGCTGCTGCCGCCAGACTCGCAGCAGCAGCAGCAGCAGCAGCCTAAGCTCCTGTCTCCTGCACGGCTGCACCAGCAGCAGCAACAACAGCAGCAAGAGCAACAGAAACAAGAGCAGCACCACCAGCAGCAACAAAAGCAGCACCACAAGCAGCAGCAGCAGCGACGCCGCAGCAGCACAACCCCTGCGCTGGTAGCAGCAGCAACAGCTGAAACAGCAACGGCAGCAAAACCAGCAGCAGCGGAAGCAGCAACAGTAGGAGGAGCAGCACCAGGAACAGCTGCGGCAGCTGAAGCAGCACCATCACGAGCAGCAGCAGCAGCAACAACAACAGCAGCGGCCGCCAAGCCAGCAGCAGGAATGGAAGCGACAGCAGCAGCAGAAGCAGTTGCAGCAACAGCAGCAGACATAGCAGCGGCAACAGAATCAGCAGCAGCAGCAGAAACAGCAGCAGATGCAGAAGCAGCAGAAGAAGCAGCAGAAGCAGCAGCAGCACCAGCAGCAGCAGCGGATGAGGAGACAGCTTCAGCCTCGGGTATGGGCGCGGAGTGCGGGGACCCGCTGCTGGTGCTTTCAGCAGCAGCAGCAGCAGCAGCGCAACGGCAGCAGCACCACCACCAACGGCTGCAGCAGCAGCAGCAAATAGATGTAAGCCCGCCTGTGCAAATCATGAAAGAGCTGTTCTTCTGCTGCGCTGGCGGCGCTCCAGGAGCAGCAGCAGCAGCAGCAGTAGCAGCAGAAGCAGAAGCAGCAGCAGCAGCAGCAGCAGTTGATGGGCATTATCTACAGGCCCCTCATTCCTTTCGCTGCAGCAGCGGACGCTTCACTCACGTGGTAGACTTCAGGGAGCAGCAACAGCAGCAACAGCAACAGCAGCAGCAGCAGCAGCAGTTGGGGTTGAGTGCAGCAGCTGCATATTCCCAGTCACTACCGCAGGTGCTTGTTTACAGCGAGTTTGTTGCTGCTGCTGAAAGCAACAGCAGCAGCAGCAACAGCAGCGACAGCAGCAGCAACGAGCTGGAGGCCTTGTCTCCTGCTGCTCGCTCCTTCGCACTCTTCTTGCCGCTGCTGGGAGACCTTTTGAGGTTTGCTGTTGCTGCTGCTGCGTCTCCTCAGGTGCATGCAATAAGAGGTGCAGCAGCAGCAGCAATTCTTTCTCTTGTCATAGAGGGGTGTGGGGTAGGTTTGCTGCAGGCATGCGGCCTCCTCAGCAGCAGCTGTCTCCTTTGTCTCTGCTCATCTGATCTGTTGCTGCTGCTGCAGCAGCTAGCAGCAGCAAACCGCAAAAGACGCTTGGCAGCAGCAGACACAGTAGTGCTTCAGGAGCTTCAGCAGCAACACCAGCAGCAGCAGCAGCAGCAGCAGCAGCAGCAGCAGCAACAGCAAGAACAGCAGCAGCAGCAACAGCAGCAAGCACGCCATGCCGACCCTCCACTTCGCATTGCCTGTCTCTGCGGCTGCTGCACCTTTTACCTCCCCTCTGAATATATGAACAGCAGCAGCAGCAGCTGCTGCTGCTGCTGCAGCAACGGCAGCAGCAACAGCAACAGCAACAGCACAAACAGCAACGCCACCAGCAGCAACAACAGCAGCAGCTGCTGCACAACCAGCAGCAGCAACAACAACAAAAATAGCAGCAGCAGCAGAAACAATCGCAGGAGAAACCGCAACAACAACAACAGCAAAAACAGCGTCAGGAGCAACAGAAGCAGCAGCAACAGCAGCAGCAGCACCAGCACCAACTGCGCCAGCAGCAACAGCAACTTAGCTGCAACTATTCCCTCACCTGCTTGGGGGATGCGCGGCAGCAGCAGCAGCAGCAACAACAACGTCTGCTGCTGCAGCAACTGCAGCAATCCCAATAGGAGGCAGGCACAATGGTCACAGCAGCAACAGCAGCAGCAGCAGCAGCACGCGGACTTAGCTAATCATGTAGACGTCTGCGCTTCCACAGCCGCAGCAGCAGCACCAACGGGAGCAGCAGCAGCAGCAGGCACAGCAGCAGCAGCAGCAGCAGAATCTGCCGTTGCATGGGAGGCGCGCATCGTTGAATGCTGCTGCCGGCCAGACAATTCCCTCAGCAGCAGCAACAGCAGCAGCAGCAGCAGCAGCAGCAGCAACAGCAGCAACAGCAACAGCAGCAGCAGGGGGAAGAAGAAATGCTGCTGCTGCCTGCTGCAGAGTCAGTGCTTGGGGTATATATCTTTGCTGCGGAGATCACACAATATTCATCTGAATAAACTGCAGTGGCTGCTGCTATCTCCCCAGCGAACAACAGCAACAGCAGCAGCAGCAGCAGCAGCAGCAGCAGCAGCAGCAAGCGAAGCAGCAGCAGCACCAGCAGCACCAGCAGCACCAGCAGCAGCAAGGGTAAGAAGCGGAAGGAGAACACCAGAAGCTGTAGCGGTACCTGAGCAGCAGCAGCAGCAGCGACACCAATCTCAGCAGCAACAACAACAGCAGCAGCAGCAACAGCAGAAGCAGCAACAGCAGCAGCAGCTGCAGCAGCTGCTTTACCGCATTACAAAGGGCAACAGCACACTTATGTCTTTTGGGGTGGCTTCTCAGGGCCCCTTAAAAAACTCTGAAGCTGTGCTGCTGCCGTCTGCATGCACAGCAGCAGCAGCAGCAACAACAACAGCAGCAGCAACAGGAGAAATGGAGAAGAGCAGCAGCAGCTGCTGCTCCAGCAGCTGCTGCAGCAGAGATTGGCAGTTCTTCTGCTGCAAGTGCTGCGGTGTACTGACACATGCTGTTGCTGCAGATGCATGCGGCATCACCGTCGCTCTCTTCAGCAGCTTCGAACCCATACAGCCTGCTGCTGCTGCTGATGCTGCTGCTGCTGATGCTGCTGCTGATGCTGCTGCTGATGATGATGGGGAGCAGGGCTTGCGTTGTTGCTCGCGTGTTTGCATTAGCAACAGAAGCAACAGTCGCAGGCGCAGCAGCAACAGCAGCAGCAACAGCAGCAGCAGCAGCAGCAGCAGCAGCAACAGCAGCAGCAGCACATCGGGGGGCTTTGCCGCTGAGGCGCGTGGCCTCTCTTCTTCGTATTTGGGAGAAATTTGCTTTTTAAAGAATTCTACGTGTGCAGCAAATGAAGCATTTAATATAAACAGCAGCAGACTGCAGCAGCAACAGCAGCAGCAGCAGCAGCAGCAACAGCAACAGCAGCAAGAGATTTTGCCGCTGGACCACGCCCTGCAGCAGAAGCTGCCGGGGACATCTTTAGCTGCTATTCTCTTTCCGAAGCAAATGCAGCAGCAGCAGCAGCAAATCAACAAAGACAAACAATCCACATAAACTTAATGCATGCATGCAGCAGCAGCAGCAGCAGCAGCAGCAGCGGCTGCAGCATTGGCAACAGCAGCCGCAGCGATAGTGACAACAGCAACAGCAGCAGCAGCAACAATAGCAGCAGCGACAGCAGCAGCAGCAGCAGCAGCAGCAGCAGCAGCAGCAGCAGCAACAGCAAAGCGTTGCAGCTTGCGAGAGATGAATTTTGACTCTACCGTTTGTTTGCGTTTTTCTTTTTTTCAATCATCAGTAATTATTATTTCTCTGTCTATCTTTATTCTTTTATTTATTTGTTTTATCTCTCTTATTTATATACTTAGTTTTATTTACTTTTTATTTTATTTTATCTTTTATGTTTATTTTATGCTTTTGTATTGACGCTAAAGCCACCGCCTGCTATCAAAAAATAAACATAAATCTGCTTTTAAAAAGAAATGAAGAAAATAAAGAGAGCTGCCTATACACCTGAAATTAAAAAAATGAAGGGATCTGCCCATACACCTGCGAAAAGAATAAAGGAAGACCTGCCTATACACTTAAAATAAAATAAAGAAAAACTTGCATCTACACCCTGAATAGATATTAAGAAACAAAGAGCTGCTTATACACCTGAATAGAGAGACAGCTGCCTATACACCTGAATAGATAGACAGCTGCCTATACACCTGAAGTACAATAGGTAAAAGCCTTTACTGCATTTGAATGAAGTCCTCAAAGAAGAAATAAAAGGTGAGGATACACCTGAAGAGGAGGAAGTTTATTAAAGAGCTGTTTCTATGGTTTCGGGTTTTGTTTGTTTTTGCTGCTGCATTTGCATTTATTATATTATATTGTATTATATTATATTATATTATATTATATTATTATTTTATATTATTTTATTTTGTATTAATTACTGTTTTTTCGTATTGTACTGGATATTTCTTTATATATTAATATCGTGTAGCATTGTCATCTATGTATGCATATAAACATATATACATATATATATAATTATATACATATAAACATATTAATGTATATACAGCAAGTCTTCATTTATAAGTTTTAAAGATGTTTATTATTATTATTGAAAAGTAAAGACGAGGCGTTGAGGTGTATCTGCATCTCTTGAATTTCCTTTTTGTTTTTATGATGTATAAGCAGCGTATAATAAGAATAATATTTATAATTTAATTTTAATTTGTTTGTATTTATTCTTCTTCTTCTTTAATTCTTTTTCTTCTGCAAATACGAAGAAGAGCTAACTCATCAATATCTTCTTTTTCAGGTGTATATACACCTGAACACCATCGTACTATAGGAAGCCTTTCTAATCGAGGTGGATGTTTACTTTCACTCTTTGAAGGGCTTTGAAGAAGAAAATATAATCTGCAACAAACATTAATAACAATATCATACAGTCATGCCATCTAGGGTTTAGGGTTTAGGGTTTAGGGTTTAGGGTTTAGTACGGTTTACAGGTGAGGGATGAGGCGTGAGGGTTTACGGTTGAGGGATGAGGGTTTAGAGACTATTGTCTAGGGTTTAGGGTTTAGGGTTTAGGGTTTAGGGTTTGCGTTACTCCTCCGCAATTGCCTTCTCTACGTCCTTGCCGAAGTACGAGGCTGTAGGAGAGCTCAAAAGTGCTTCTGCAAAACAATTCATCCGAAGGGTTTAGGGTTTAGGGTTTAGGGTTTAGGGTTTAGCTTTAGGGTTTAGGGTTTAGAGATAAGGGTTTGGGGTTTATATATGACCTTTCAGCACGCGTTTCTCTTAGGATTTGGTGTGTAGGTTCAAGGGTTTAGGGTTTAGGGTTTAGGGTTTAGGGTTTAGAGTTTAAGGTTTAGGGTTTGGTGTTCAGGGATTTGAGTTTAGGGTTTAGGGTTATGGGTCTAGGGTTATGGGTTTAGGGTTTAGGGTTTAGGGTTTAGGGTTTAGGGTTTAGGGTTTGCCTTTGAGCGCGAGTGTTTGAAATTCTTTTCGGACGGTTTGTAGGGCGTAGAAGGTGCGGCATCGAAGCGTAGTAAATACTCTGAGTTTATTTGTTTTCTTATTAAAATAAATAAATAAAAATAAAGACAAACAAAGCAGACAAACACAAAAACAAACAAAAAGCAACATGAAATGAAGTAGAGGCAGCAGCTCAAATATCCGGAGTCTGCTCCTGCTGCAGTTGCTGCTGCTGCTGCTGTTGTTGTTGCTGTTGCTGTTTGTCTTATTGTTGGCTCTGCTGCTGTTGTGGCTGCTCGTGCGGCTGCTGTTGTTGGTGCTGCTGCTGTTGCTAATGCTGTTGTTGCTGCTGCTTCTGCTGCTGCCGCTGTTGCAGCAATTGCTGCCACTCTTGCGGCTGCTTCTTCTTCTTCTGCTGCTGCTGCTGCTGCTTCTGGAGGCTCTCTCGTTGCCGCTATTGGAGCTTCTGCTGCTGCTCTTGCTGCTGCTGCTGCTGCTGCTGCTGTTGCTGCTGCTGCTGCTGCTGCTTAGAAATTCACCTCGCTGAATATTCCTCTTCTGTTTAATTCTGCCTCCAAATCTTCGTGCGATTTAAACACCTCTCGCCGCAACTCCGAATACAGCCTGCAAACCCTAAACCCTAAACCCTAAACCCTAATGGCTGCAGGCCTACCCCTGAATCAGCTTAGCAGCAAGCAGACGAAATAATCCCTAAACCCTAATCACCCTAAACCCTAAACCCTAAACCCTAAACCGTACAGACCAAGCCACCAAATGCAAAGAACGCCTTCAGAGTGTAGGGTTTAGGGTTTAGGGTTTAGGATTTAGGGTTTTAGGGTTTAGGGTTTAGGGTTTAGAGCTCTCTTGCCGTCTTTTTGCATCTTCATACACTTCGCGGCCGCGTGGGCGAAGACTTCGCTGAGTGCAACAGCAAAGAGCGAGCCCAAACCCTAAACCCTAAACCCTAAACCCTAAACCCTAAACCCTTATCGATATGTACTTACAATGCAAGCCAGTCTCTCTTCTGCGCTCCACTTGTCTACTTGTTCAGAGATAGACAAAACGTTCTGAAAGGAAAAGATATAAATACACAACACTTCAATTGCAGCAAACCCTCATGCTCTAGGGTTTAGGGTTTAGGGTTTAGGGTTTAGGGCTTAGGGCGACATTTTGGGGTTCGTCTTCCGCCTGATTTTCATTTCGTTCTTTGTTTGTCGTTGCAGTTTTCTTTACTCCTTCTCCTCTAAATGAGAACACCACAAAGACGGAGTTAGGGTTTAGGGTTTAGGGTTTAGGGTTTAGGGTTTAGGGTTTAGGGTTTAGGGTGAGTGTACACCCGATGCGTGAACGCCCCCGTGAAATGGGTTTATTTAGTGTTCAGGGTTTAGGGTTTAGGGTTTAGGGTTTAGGGTTTGTTGCCGCAGCCAGAAGAAGAAAGAACACAGATTAAATGAAAACAGAATAAACAAATTAAAACAGCAAACAAACAAAGAAAAACAAAAATGAAGTTAATGCGTTGCATGCAACAGCGAATAAACGAATACTACTCTAGCAAATAAATAAATAAATAAATAAATAAATAAATAAATAAATAAATAAACACCGAAGTAAACAAAAACAAATAAATAAACAGACCGACAGATAGAAAAACAAAAAACAAAAAACAAACAAACGAATAAACAAATAAATAAATAAATAAATAAATAGACAGCCAACCGACCAAATAAATAAATAAATAAATAAATAAATAAATAAATAGATAAATAAATAGGCTTTAACAAACAAAGACGAGTAAACAAATGCAAGTGGTGTTATACACTGCATCAGTTTCGTTCTCTCGTTGTTTATTTTCTTCTTCTTGTATTAAACCGCCTGATTTAAAATTTGTTGATTCTGTCTCCTCTCTATCTTCTGCTGCTGTTTGAGTTGTTAGGTCTGCTGCTGCTACTCGCTGCTGCTGCTGCTGCTGCTGTTGCTGCTGCTGCACCTTGCTGCTGCTTCTGCCTAAGGTGCTGCTGCGGCTGATGCTGCTGCTGGGCCTTAGGGGCATGCAACTGCTGCGAATAGTACGTCTCTGCCGCAAGCGGTTGCTGCTGCTTTTGCTGTTGCTGCTGCTGCTGCTGCTGCTGCTTCTGCATGCAGCATTAGGGTTAAATGATAACCGGGAGACAAACAAAGGCGAAGAATCTGCAAAACTTGTAAAGGAGACAGTGCGATCAAACACCAAAGGGTATCTTGGCAGCGAAGCAGCAACTTCGCTGCTGGTGCTGCTTCTGCTGCTGCTGCTGCTGCTGCTGCTGGCGTGGCTTGCGGCAGCAGCACGAGCAGCAGCTCCGCATGCTACAGGAAAAGCTGCTGCTGCTGCAGGACCAGCAACAGCTCCTGCATCGGCCGAAGCAGCAGCTGCAGCAACTGCAGCATCATCTTCTGAAGGCGGTGCATTTGCCAATGCAGTAGACGCAGCAGCAGCAGCAGCAGCAGCAGCTGCTGCTGCTGCTGCTGCTGCTGGGGCTGAGATTGAATAGTGATGCTGCAGAGCTGAGGAGACACCTGCAATTGAGTGCAGACGCCTCGCTAAATCAACAACAGAATAACTCCGACTCAGCCGCGAAGGCCTAGATATTGCTGCTGCTGCTGCTGCTGCTGCTGGTCCCTGTGCTGCTGCTGCTGCGGCTTCTGGTGCTTCCTCAGGAGAGACTGTTGGCGTTACTGTAGCAGCGGCAGCAGCTGCAGCAGCAGCAGCAGCAGCAGCAGAGTCAGCGATGGAAGCGGTGGGGTTGTTGTGTGTTTTTCTTTCAGCAGAGAGAGAAGGAAGAGAATTACAAAAAGAAATAAAGCGGTTTGCCTGCTGCAGCATTTTATTGTTTGTTTGATATCATGGATTTAATATTTATTATCTTTTTAATTTCTTTTTTTGTTGTTTTGTTTGTTTTTCTGTTTGTTTCCCTCGCTGCTTATTTTATTTTTTTCTTCATCATTGCATGCAGCTCAGACCCTCAAGCTGAATTAACCTCAATTTGTTCGCGTATAAGCATTAATACAAAGCGTAAATAGTATGTTATACATTATCTTAGTATTGTTTGTTTATTCTTCTCTCTATTCTGCAAGACTTTGTATAAACAATTTAATTGCAATTTCCTGTGTCTTCTTCAGGCTAACAGTTTTCGGTGTTTGTTTGATTTAAAGCTGCTAGCCGATGTGGGATCAACAGAATTAAAATAAATAGATATTAAGAGCGACAGAGGAGGGTTGTCAATGGGGTGTCTCTAGTATGTATATACACCGGAGTATAACTTTAACTGATTAAACTGAATGCATGCATGCAATACTATTTGCCTTCTTTTGCATTTCCAGATCCATACGAACTTAAAAAAGCGGAAAAAGGCAAATAACTAATAACCCTAGAGGCTGAAGGAGTGAAAACAACGAAGATAAGTAATTATTAAAAACAGAACTAACGGAGTAAACTGAATTCTTTTTGAATATATGGGATATATACACTTAAACGAATCTTTTTAAATTATTCAAAAACCACAAATTTTGCAAATTTATTTAAATAATCCATCATATTATTGAGAAACAGAATATATTCAGGTTTTAGGTTCGACTGCATGCAACAGGCGCGGGGCCCGTGGGGCTTTGGGGCTGTCTGAAGTAAAAAGTTTGAGAAAAACAATAAAAAAGAAATAAATGATCGGTTTCATATTTGCTTATTCATGAAAGTTCAGAGGTTTCCCCCATATACTGCATACACCCGAGCTGCCTATACACCGCGTGCAGCCATCCGCCTTTGCAATCGATTGCCGCATTGCAAACATTTTTCATATTTCTTCTTTTTTTCCTCTTGAATTCATTTTTTAAGTATTTTATCTCGAGGTAAGCGTTTTAATTTTGCTTAAAACCCCTATTTAAGCAGCAGAAGGCAGCAAGAAATCTCTGATTACTCCTCGCTTTTCAGCAGTTTCCGTTGGGCAGTTCCACATGTTCCCTCGAAACTGCATATTATTCAACGGATTATCGTGGAATTTAGTTATATTTTAATTCAATTTTAGCTAAACAATTCATTTGAAATTCAACTAGGTTAATATCTTCATATACAAATGCCATTTCCTGCAAGTTTCCGCTTTTTCGGCTTCGCTCTTGCAAATGGTAAGTGTTGAATTGTGCTGTGTTTTATCGTTTTCAGGTATATTGGCTTTATTAATGTATTAAATTTGTTTTATTTGTATCGTCTTTCTTCTTTTTTTGATTAATTTCAACATTTTTCCTCCTTTCACACCGCCTATATCAAAGCAAAATGCCGGTTTCCAAACGGGCGAAAGTCGTTCATCTTTCAAAGACGAAGAAACAGAAAACAGGCAGCAGATCCGCTGCATCGGAGACGAAAAATCTGTTGATTGAGACTGTCAGAGAAATGGCAGAAGAAGAGGGAGTTCATATTTACGTCGTCGAGCTTAAGAACCAGAAAAATGCGATGTTAAAAGCAGCAAGAGATGCACTCAAACCCGGGAGGTAATTCCTGCATCTGCCTGAGGTGTACATACACTGCACATGTTCATCTACACTCTATTTCATACAGATTATGCATCCATTAAACAACCGAGCTATTTATACCTCTGCAAAACAAAATAATTCGTAATGCACTCAGACATAACGGGGAAGCCAACTAACTATTTGCGCCGTTTCATCTTCGCTATATATATATATATATACGTGTATATATATATTATATATTTGCATGTAAATGCGGTTTCAATTGCACAATATTGTTGAAGTGCATTTTTTACCTCTTTACGGTGTTTGATTTTGCTTCATTCTGACCGGCGTTTAATTTGTCTGTTTTGCTGTTTGTTTGTGGCGCTGATTCTCATTCATACAAGAAAGCCTTAACCCCCTCTTCCTAAACGTACAATGGAGAGGCTGTGCATGCGTGCATGCATGCATACGTGCATGCAACTGCCTTTTTGTGTTTGGATTATTTTTATTTCAGGTTGTTCTTCGGAAAGAACAAAGTGCTGCAAGTGGCGTTGGGCACGCAGCCGTCTACGGAGTGTCTCGACAACGTGCATAAAATAGCAAAGCTTTTAGTTGGAGAAAGAGGGATTTTAATTACAAAAGAAGGGTTAAAAGAAACAAAAAAGATACTTTCAAGCGTTACAGGAGATGAATTCGCTAAAGCAGGATTTACAGCTACAAAAACCATCGTTCTTGAGGTGCCTATACACCCCAATGCGTTCAGGTGTATAGGCAGCTCCTGCACGCACGAACATGAATAGAACAGCATATATATATTATTTTGCATTTATTGTATTATTAGTTATTCTATTTAAATTAATTGTCTTTTTCTGCTTTTTTTAATGTTTTTTAGGCTGGGTTTGATTCATTAGAGCGGTTTCCTCACTCTATGGAGCCCCGGTTGCGATCCTTAGGCCTCCCTACCCAACTGCAGGTAACCAAACAATTAAATACGATGAAATTGTTTACATAATTGAATTTTTAATAATAGTTAAATTAAAAGAATTATTCCTAGACAAAGAAAACGAATTCGTAGCTGTTTCTGCAGATGCTGCGCCTCCGCATAGAATGGCATCTACAATACACATAGACAGCAATCCCCTTACTGCCGCTGTTGCTGCTGCTGCTGTTGCTGCTTCTGCTACTTCTGCTGCTGTCTGGTGTTTGAATGCTCCTGCTCCTGCGGTTTCTGTGCTTGCCTTCACCACCGCCACTGCTGCTGCTGTTGCTGCTGCTGCTGTTATTGTTGTTATTTAGAACGGAAAGATAAACCTGTTAGGGCGGTACACGGTGTGCAGTGAGGGATCTCCAATTAGCGTTGAACAGGCGCAGATCCTTGTGAGTTATAAATCGGAGAACCAAAGGAACAAACCCTAAACCCTAAACCCTAAACCCTAGAATGACGCCCTTCGTATTGCTTCTTGTACGGTTTGTTTAGAGCAGAGTGCAGCCTTGTTTCTCCCTCTCTGGGTTGCGGGTGATAGGGGGTTAATGGTTCATTTGAGGGTTTAGGGTTTAGTGGTTATGGTTTAGGGTTTAGGGTTTAGCGGTGTGGATATTATGCAGAAACACCTCGACGTGAAGATGGCTCGATTTTGTATATCAGTCGTCGCCCACTGGCATGGAGGGCAGGTGGAGGTATTTTAGGGTTTAGGGTTTACAAAACCCTCAAGCAATGAGGCTTCATCCGAGGGTTTAGGGTTTAGGGTTTTGCAAAGGCTGCAGAGCCCGCATTGGCATGCCGTCGTCCTGTCCTTTATGCTTTTCGCTTCTTTCAGGGTTTGGGGTTTAGGGTTTAGGGTTTGGGGTTTAGGGTTTAGGGTTCGTTTCTGTACTGATAACAAATTCATTTCTTCTTGTCTAAAGGCTTTCTTTGCTTGTATACTTCGGGGGACAAACAAATCTGTTGTAGCTAGCTGTAGCTAGCTGTAGCTAAGTGTAGGTAGCTGTAGCTGCAGCGTTGGGCAGCTAGTTGCATCTAGGTGTAGCTAGCTGTAGCTAAGTATAGCTAGCTGTAGCTAGCTGTAGCTAGCTGTAGCTAGCTATAGATAGTTGTAGCTAGTGGTAGCTAGAAGAATGCAAGAAAAAGGGTTTAAATATATTTATGTAGATATTAATTTAAAAGAAGAAAGAAAGCCGTAAGCCCTGAACCTGTAGACGCAGGTCTTGATATAACCTGTGTCTGTAAACCCTAAACCCTAAACCCTAAACCCAAAACCCAAAACCCTAAACGGAGAACCGTAGACCGTCGACTGTATATCGTAAAGCCTAGACCGTATCAAGTGATGAATTAGGGTTTAGGGTTTAGGGTTTAGGGTTTAGAGCCATCTCTTGCTCTTTTACTTCTGCTGCTGCCTACAGCTTCTTCTAAGAAACGCAGCACTCCTTCTCTGTCTCTGCCATCGTTTATTCGTCGTTTGCTCGCAGCCTCTTCTAACAAAGATATGCCGTCAGCATCGCGAACCTAACAAACAAACATCATAAACAAATAAATATATATATATATATATATGTATATATATGTATATATATATATGGATGTAGATTTATAGATATAGATATACATAGATAGATATACAGATATATATGTAGATGTATATAGATATAGATATATAGGATCAACTAAACAAATAAACAAATATATATATATATATTTATATACATATACATATATATTATCTATATTTATATTTATATAGATATAGAAGGAGGTATATCTATAGATGGGTTTATCAATAAATATCGGCATCGATACTTAGAAGAATAGAAAAACGATAAAACAAAGAAAACTAAATAAATATTTTTATTAAATAAACAAATAAATAAATAAATAAGCTAAACAAACAAATAAACAAATAAACAAATATATATATATATACCGTAAGGTTTGCGTTAAGAGCTGCAAGGGTTTTAAGAAGGCCTAGATGACCTCCTGCTGCTGCATGAAAAGCAGCAGTTCTTTGATACCGATCTTTTGCTTCTAAAGGTACTCCTAACTCTATTAAATATAAAACACAACAAACTCTTCCGCATGCTGCAGCCAAATGAAGAGGCTCGTTATAGTTAGCGGTACCTGCATAGACACCCCAAACAAAATACAGAAAAAAAGATATATATATATATATATATATATAACATATTGATTAGGGTTTAGGGTTTAGGGTTTGAGAAGGAGGAATTAGTTATTATATACACTGAAAAGAAGAAAATAAAATAAACAAATATATATGAAAAAAACTAACATACAACACACTGATTAGGGTTTAGGGTTTAGGGTTTAGGGTTTAGGGTTTAGGGTTTAGGGTTTAGGGTTTACCAATGGGTCCTCTAGGGGATAGACCATGCTGGATATGAAGGCGCTGTAGAATAGCTCTTGACCCCCCCATTGCTGCTGCATGCATAAGAGAGCCTCGGCCTTGCTTCAGCAGCAAACTATCAATTGTTTTAATGCTGCATGCACCTTCAAGCAGCAGCAAACATCGCAGCTTGCCCTGTAAGCAGCAGCAAAATAATGCATGCGCCAGTGCATGTACAGACAAAGACACCTTTATGCAACAGCATCCCCTCCTGCTGCTGCTGTTGCTGCTGCTGCTGCTGCCGTTGCTGCTGCTGCTGCTGCTGCTGCTGCTGTTGCTGCTGCAAGAGAAAACCCCGTCAGAGACAGGTAGGCCGCAGAGACACTCCACTGGGACCTGCTGCTGTTGCTGCTGCTGCTGCTGCTGCTGCTGTGGGAGCAGCAGCAGCTCCAGAAGCTGCTGATCAACAGCAGCACGGGGTATCTTTATACCTCCCTCCTGCTGCTGTTGCTGCTGCTGCTGTTGCTGCTGCTGCTGCTGCTGCTGCAAGAGAATAAACTGAAGCACCTTGAAGGTCTCCTTATCGGAGTGCTGCTCCCTTACTGCATGGCGCAGCAGCAAATCCGCAGTAGTTTGCTGCTGCAGCAGCAGCAAATCAGCAGGATCAGCAGCAGCAAGTGCTTCAGATGGATTGGGGCTAAAGAGATATTCAAGCAATCGAGGGGCCCCTTCTGCTGCTGCTGCTTGTGCTGCTGCTGCTGCTGCTACTTCAACTGCTTCAGCTGCTTCAGCTGCTGCAGCTGCTTCTGCTGCTGCTTCAGCAGCAGCAAGGAAGCTGTCTTCTCCCTTAGCAGCAGCACCGAAGCCCCCTGCTGCAGCAATAAGCGACAGCAAATCATCATTACTATCCTTGGGGGCCCCTTCTACCCCTATTGGGGGGCCCCCTCCCTCTAATGAGGGGCCCCCAACTAGAGGAATAGACAGTACCCTCTCACTACCCTGGGGGCCCCCCAAGGGGCCCTCAGTACCCATGGGGCCCCCAAGGGGGGCCCCAGTACCTAAGGGGGCCCCCTGGGGGCCCCCCGAGGGGTCTCCAGTACCCAAAGGGGCCCCCAAAGGGCCCTCAAAGCCCTGTGCATGCACCGCAGCCCCGTCTGATGCATGCAGTGGGGGACCCTCAGGGGGGCCCCCTGAGGATGAACCCGGAGGGGGGCCCCCAAAGCATGCCCCAGGGGCCCCCGTTGTAGGGTGTTGCAGCTGAGCAGTTGTGTTGGATGCTGCTGCTGCTGCTGATGCTGCTGTTGCTGCTTCTGCTGCTGCTGCTGCTGCTATATCCTCCATTTGTAAAAGAGAGAAAGAAACGCACAAAGAGTTCAAGAGGCCATCGGCACCGAACTCACCAACCCCAAACCCTAAACCCTAAACCCTAAACCCTAAACCCTAAACCCTCGTCTAGGCGGCAGAGTAAAGAGGGCTAATTTGTCTGTTGGTGGATAATAAATAAAAATAAAATAGAAATGAAAAGAAAAAAAATATATTTGGTGTACATCGACGAGTAGAAACAACAGAAGGAGAGGGCCCCTGGGGGCCCTCAAGGGCCTCCGCTCTCAGCGTGCTGCCGAAACCCTAAACCCTAAACCCTAAACCCTAAACCCTAAACCCTAAACGCTAAACCTTAAACCCTAAACACTAAACCCTAAACCCTAAACCCTAAAATGTGAAGTTGTGCAAATTGTTTCTGTCTTTGTATCTCTATTTTCTTTTTGTATTTCTTTTCTGTTTCCTTCTGCTTAGCTAACGATAATTAGTTGAGGTGTATGTACAACTCATTGCTGGTCTTAGTATTAAAATAAAAGAAATGCAGATACTGTCTCTGTTTTTCTTCTTCTTTTTAGGGTTTTATGTTTAACTCCTTTCAACCTGCTATAATATAAAATGCACAGATAGACAGACCTCGCTGTTTTATTTGTTTTTTAGTTCATTATGTTTATCTTTTTAGCGTTTGTTTGTTTTGTTTTTTTGTTTGCTCGTGCCTCTCGCCAGAAACAACTCCAATAACTGCAGCAGCAGTAGCAGCAGCAGCAGCTGTTGCTGCTGCTGCTGCTGCAGCTGCAGCTGCAGCTGCATAGGGGTAGCAGCAAGGCTGCTCGTCCTCTTTATGTTGGGGTGTATGCACAGCTAGATTTAAATATAAGGGTTGATACTGTCTCCTCTGCTTTTCATCTCTGTGTTTGCTGCCTCTTCTTTTTTTTCTTTGTTTGTTTATTCTCTAATCCCTCAACCCGAAGACAAACAAATATAAATAAATGATAGAGATAAATAATAATAATAATATCAATAATAATAATAATAATATTATTATTATTATTATTGTGTTTATATTAGTATTTATTTATTTGTTTGTTTAATTATATTTTATTGAGGGCGGCATTTTCTATGAGTATTGCACATAGCTGAAAATAACTTTATTCTTTGTTTAATTTTGTTTTTATATATTTATTTTTCTTCCGATTTGTTTACCTCCTTTATGCATTTGTTGTTTATTTGGTCTCTTTGTTTTATTTATATTACCTTTCTTCTCTCTTTCTTTTATGCATTTGTTGTTTATTTGATCTCTTTGTTTTATTTATATTATCTTTCTTCTCTCTTTCTTTTTCTTTGTTTCATCTCCATCCCCTACCCCTCATCTCTGTCTGTTTATATTATTATTCTTTTTAATGTTTATTGTATTATTATTATAATACTATTATGCTAGTTATTATTGTTATTATTATTGTTATTATTATTATTATAATTATTACTATTGCTATTATTATTATTGCTATTATTATTATTATTGTTATTGTTATTTGATTATTACTACTATTGTTATTATTATTATTAATGCTATTTCTATTTTCTTATGACTATTATTATTTGTATTTATATTATTATTATCATTGTTAATATTATTATTATTATCATTATATTATTTGCGTTGCCTTTGTTCTTAGAATTATCCCTTTGTTTATTTGTTATTATTTGTATTTTCATTATGAATGTTTGTTATTAGTATTATTATTGCTTTTTTCTTATATTATTATTAGTAGTAGTAGTATTATAGTTTTTGTTGTCGTTAATGTTATTATCATTATTAGTTTAATGATTATTTATTTATCGAAGGGAAGACAATCTTGTCTTGTTTTGTTTATTTGTTTTTAATACCCATCTACAGCATGTGCTTTCATTGTTTGCATGCATGTTAATACTTCAATGCATACTCGAGCTGTACAGACACCTGGTGAGGGTTGAGATTTAATTGTATTAGAAGAAGAACAAAAAAATACTTTTTTCGGTATTCTTCGCTGTATGCTCTTATCTCTATAGCGTTTGTCTCTTCGACTCCGCGTACAACGCGCAAACCCTAAACCCTAAACCCTAAACCCTCATACACCTTTTTCGTCAATGAACGAGAAGCAGCTGATGATAAAAGCCCAATATTCTCCTGTGCTTCTTATCGATTATAAAGCCAGAAAAGTAGGATACAGTTGCTTACAGACCTGTGCATGCATGCATGCAATTTAATGCATGCATGCATGCATTAAATTGCAATTTAATGCATGCGTGCACGAACGTATGCATAGATATGCCAACCTGCAGGGGTGAGGCGGGTGTTGGAGGCCTGGTTGTTGTTGTGGGCGTCGGTCGCTGCTGCAGAAGCCTCTGAGTGTATAAGCAGCGCAGCCTACAAGAAATGCTCGCTGCTCTCCTCTTGCGCAGCGAGGGAGTGCAGGTTAGGGCGTCGAACTTAACGTTAGTCTCCGCTTAACCCCTTTAGAGTTTTGCAGTAAAAACAAATGAAATATATTAAGGGTTCTGGACAAATGCTTTTCGGGTGTTTCTTTGTGAAAGAAACTCTTCGGATTCTCATATGCGCCTTGTACTGCGTGCGGTCGCAGTATACTGTCGATGCAGGGGTAAGGAGTCGTGTATAACCCGTTGAAACGCAATTTAAAAACAAAAATATTGCAGAAAAAGGCAAATAACTTCTCTTAATTTGCATAACAGATGTGTGGAAAGCTGTCGGTTGCTTCGGGGGGTGATGTTTGAGGTGTACGTACAGCTGAGCTGTTGTCGTCCTTCGGGCGCCGAGATGAAAATTCAGTAGTAGGACAACCGGTAGATGAATATCGAAGAAAATATGAATAAATGCATTTCTTTTCTCAAGAATTTATATTTTTTAATCTTATTCCCTCCTCCACCATCTCAGCTTTTCCTCTATGACTCTATTCTCCTCCGGTTTCCCGACGATTCGCGCCTCCGCTGGCACCCGTTCAAGTTTTTTTGCATCTTGCTGCCGCCCCCGCTTAGAGTTGATGTGTTTCCTCTCCTTTTGAATTTTAATTAATTGAGATCCAAAAAAAGTCAAATAAATTGAAAAAAATGGAAGTTGAATCTCCGAAAGTGAGATAATACGAGAGATACTGCTCACCGGGCTCCGCGAGCAGCACTCGATCCGGTGGCTCCCTTGTTTATTTGGTACACTTTTGTGATTAATTCAGAGCTTTTTTTCTTTTATTCGTTGTTTTTTGTACTTTTAATGCTATATTACTCCTTTCATCAGCAAGTTTCAGCCTCTTTCACTGCGGATCTCCCATGCCGCAGCCGCCATGCCAGTCGGTTCAACAAGCGGCTGCCTGTTGAGTGGTATTCAGAAACCTTCTTCTTTCTGCACAGGTGTAAGGCCTTTAAAAGGATTTAAGTCTTGTTTTACTCCCCTTTCTTCTTCCTCTGTAATGTCGGCGCCGCCGTCGGCCCCTGCAGCAGCTGGGAGTTCAACTTGCAGCAGCAAGACCGACAACAACAACAGCAACAACAGCAAATGCAGCAGCAGCAATATAATCAGGAAATGCAGCAGCAACAGGACTAACACCAGCATAAGGAGCATTAATAGGAGCATCAAGAATAAGAAGATTCTCCTTCATCGCAGGAATCGTTTGGGTAATCATTTGTATATTTCTTGCATTTCTTTTTTCTTCTTGTTGGCGAGCAATTATATAATTTTTCCGGTTTTTTGTCTGCATACATCTGGAGGGGGTTCTTCTTTAGACCCTTCTTCTCCAAAGTATATATCTGAAGAGTTTGCAGCGAGTGCAACAGCACCTGATTTAAATTTTCGTGAAGACCACGACTGTTTATTAACTGAAGGGATTCCACAGAATACAGCTTGGGTAAAGACAGAAACAGTATTAAGCCCTTATCAGTGGGCTTGTCATGTAGAAGATGAAGTGATTGTTAACAAGGAGCTGCATGCACATCAAACGAAAGCTATTGAATATCCAGGTAGAGAGAGTCAAGCTTTTCTTTCTTTTCATATTCCAGAAGAAACCTTTGAAAACGGTAAAGCAATATTAGCATTATATACTGAAGGCGGTACAGACTCACGTAATGTACACTGCGGGGGTCCTGTATTGAATATAACAAGAATGAAGGATGATAGTTATATGAATACACGTGATGATTCTACAGCCTCAGATGACTATATAACTCAAAGTATATCTGCTCTTGACGATTATAAAGAAATAGATATATCTTCTCTTTTCTATGCTAAAGGTTTCAAAGGTTCATCTCTTCATTTACGTATTAGAGAGCAAGCCCCGTTCTGCTCTTCAGATTTTGTGCCCCCCGGGTCTACAAATGCACCAAAATTAACTCTTTATATTTTAGATACAACACCGAAAGATGCAGAGTATGATAGCTGGAGTGCATTCTCTTCATGTAGAGTTTCTTGTATATCTTCTGCTAATTATCAATGCCGAAAAAGAAATTGTATTCCGGGGGTAGGAAGCGGCTCTGCATGCAACCCTCAGAAAATGCTACAAAAAATACCTTGTGTAGATTCTTCTATTTATACTCGGTGTACTTGTAGTGATTTACAAAGAGAAGGTGTCTGCCCTGCAAACTCAGGGTGTACAGACAGCTCAACGGGCGGAGCTCTGTGTACTTGTGCTTCAAAATTTACTCAAGAAAGTCTTCAGAAAGAAACTGTTTGCAATCTTGGTCAGCATGCTCATCAATATTTAATATTATTATTACTCTTCTTTACGAATAAATAATATTTGTCTGCTCTTCTTACTAATCAATTTTCATCAGGAAATGTCTCCGATCTTGATATATTATATCAGCAATATTATATACTTAACAGTATATGTTTCTTTAAAGTATTAAATATTAAATATTATATATTATATATTAAATATTAAAGACTAAATATTAAAGACTAAATATTAAATATTAAATATTAAATATTAGTTAAATAACAACTTTAAAGCAGTAACTATTAACTATTAGCAAATGCATATAAACTGTTCAATGCTATCTATAATTAATTAATTATTTTTAATTATTTAATTTGCTTATTAATTAATTTGTTTATTAGTTAATTTGCTTAGCATTTGTTGATTTGCTGTTGTTGTTTAGTGCAGATACGTTGTCTAAATAAATAAATAAATAAATAAATAAATAAATAAATAATATATCAATAGATTGTTTGCTGCTCGCTGCAGACACAATATCTAAACAAAAAAATAAATAAATAAATAAATAAGATATATATTACTACTTTGTTGTTTGCTGCAGACACATTATCTACTGTCTCTTCAAATACAACTTTTGTTTTATCTTCACAAACAACAACAACAACAGCAGCACCAACAGAAACAAATAATTTAATTTATATTATTGTAGGCACTGTTGGCGGAGTTTTGCTGCTTTGTCTCGTTGCTGTTATAGGTGAGAGCCTTTACTATTATTATTATTATTATTCTATTATTCTATTATTATTATTATTATTATTATTCTATTATTATTATTCTATTATTATATTATTCTATTAATATTATTCTGTTATTATTATTCTGTTATTATTTTATTATTATTCCTATTCTATTATTATTATTCTATTATTCTTATTCTTCATTTTCTTATTCGTCTTGTTTTTATTCTTTTTATTATTATTATTCATATACTCATTCTTCTTACTCTTTTTCTTTTTCTTCTTTTTCTTTGTCTTGTTCTTGTTTGTATTTTTATTTTTATTATTTCTTATTCTTTTTCGCCTTCTTTTGCTTTTTCTTCTTTTTAATGCTCTTATTCTTTTGTTCTTTTTCTTTTTATTATTATTATATTATTCTTATTTTTATTCTTATTCTTCTTCATCTTACTTTTCTTTTTCTTTTTGTCATTTTTCTTATCCTTCTTTGTCTTTATCTTTTATTTTATTTGTTTTATCGTCCTTTTGTTTTTGCTTTGATTCTATTTCTTTCTATTCTTCACCTATTTTTTTCGTTTTCTGACTTCTTTGCTTTGTTGCTTCTGCTGCTGCTGCTGTTGCTGCTGCTGCTGTTGCTGCTGCTGCTGTTGCTGCTGTTGCCGCTGCAGTATTGAAGCCTCCCACATCCTCATCGCGTCCTGCAGCTGGTGCAGGCAGGGATATGATGACCCAAGCAGCAGCAGCAGCAGCAGCAGCAAACGGGTATGCGGGGGCCCCCTGGCAAGGGGCCCCCCAAGGTATGATGGCATCACCCTATGCTCCTGCTGCTGTACCCCCAGGAACGAGGCCCCCGGGGCCCCCTAGAGGTTTTTAGTAGTCTTTATTCAGATGCAGCAGATGTTTTTATGTATATGCTGTAGCAACATGCAACTGCTGCTGCACAACAGGCAATAGCAGCAGCAACAGCAGCAGAAGCTCCTGCTTACAACAGCAGCAGATGCTGCAGCTGCAGCACAAGCCTCTTAAGCTCTGAGTTTTTTCTTTCTTTGTCTTTCTTTTTTTTCTTTTTGCTTCAACATAAACAACAACTAAATTCTTATCGCTGCATTTTATGCTTTCTTTAGGTGCTCTAATAAAACAAGAGAATATAAAAACTCGCTTCAAGAATTTATTTATATATCCTACACAAAAACCTAAAAATTCACCCACTCACTCAGCCCCAAACAGAAACTCTTCAAGGGACCCTTTTATCCTTTGCATGCATGCATGCATTCATTAATATATATATATATATATATACATATATATTACTACCTATAATTTGTTCTGTTGTTTATTTTTATTTACTACTATTATTAACTATGTCTTATTATTTGATATTTATTGTTTTTAACTACTTAATATTTATTCACATCTCTAATTTATTTATTCTTATTAATGATGCTTTATAACTCTTTATTACTAATTTATTAAACAAAACAAAACAAAACAAAACAAAAAGCCCCACCCCTCATACAACTCAAATAAAAGGCAATATAAAGTTTTCTAGATAGCAGCAAAACCCTCAGCAAGATTCTGTTTATTATTTCGTAAGGTATATATACAGCCCTAAGTTAGGGGGCCCCTCTTGCATGCAGAAGAGGGGGGCCCCCATGGGGCCTCCATGGGGCCCCCGCATCCCCAATCAGACGCCGGGGGGCCCCCTAAAGCAGTGAAAAATTGTCTCTTCGGGTCTCTCTATCTTTCTTTAATATGCAATAGAGGGCCCCCAAATCCTACACCTTTCTTCTTCTTCTCTTTTCTCTTAAAAACACTAAAGAGAGAAAATAAAAAGGGCTATTATTATTACACATATATTATGCATAGATGATATATATATATATATATATCAT